TGCCTTCCTCTATGAAGTCATCACCGGGGCGGCCATGAGCGTTGGACGTCCTGACGCGCCTGTCAAACAGCGCCCCCGTCATGTGACCAAGAAAGGGCTCGGGTCGGTTTCTCACTTCCGGCCTGGGCGGAAGTGCGTCGTTCGATCTCGCTGTTGCTGTTGCCGTTGCCTGCTTGTCTCTGTGCGCGGCGGTCGCCATCATGAGTAAAAAGACGCAGGTCTCGTACGTGCGGCCGGCCGAGCCCGCCTTCCTGAGCCGCCTCAAGAGGGAGGTCGGGTATCGGGAGGGGCCCACGGTGGAGACCAAGGTAATGACACGCCCCTGCCCCTCGGGAGCCCGGCCACAGCCCGCCACGCTGCCGAGACCCGGGGATGGGCTCCCTCAAGCAGGTGAGCATGGCCGCTTCCCCCGCCTGCTGCTCCCAGCCCTGACCTCCCTCCCCCGCCTGTGCGGGAGCCTCGCCCTCTTTTCGAACGTCAGTGTCCCGCGTGGACACAAACGGCCCCCACCCACTCCGGGCAGCGGCCCAGGGAGAAGAAGAGTCTCCCCGGCCCGATCTCTGTGCTGCTGTACAACGAGGGCCCGTGGCATTCCACCGAAGGGAGCTCCTCAGGCCTAACGGAAGCCCCGGGGAAGCACCTGAGGTCAAGGCTTATTTCAGAGCCAAGGACTGTTATCGGGGCTCCCGTCTTACATCAACAGCCTGCTGCACTGAGCAGCCGGCTTAAAAACAAGGGAAACTGGAAACCTTCAAGCCCTAAGATTGGGGTCGGCAACCTTTTCAAACCAAAGAGCCAAATTGCATCAAAATATGCAACTTAATATTACTGATAATTGACATGAATCATACAGACTGTATTTAATGGGACTTCTGCTACTGCATCTTTTTGCACATTTCTTTGACATTTACATCATAACTTGTCAAATCCAGCTTTTCAAATAGTGCACATTCAGGCTGTGTTCTCATAGAATCATAGAGCTGGAAGAGACCTCAGAAGGTCACAAAGTCCAGCCCCCTGGTCTAGGCAGGATCAATCCCAACTAAATCAACCCAGCCAGGGCTTTGTCAAGCTGAGACTTAAACACCTCTAGGGATGGAGACTGCACTACTTCCCTAGGTAACCCATTCCAGTGCTTCACCACCCTCCTAGTGAAATAGTTTTTCCTAATATCCAACCTGGACCTCTCCCACCACAACTTGAGACCATTGCTCCTTGTTCTGCCATCTGTCACTAATGAAAACAGCCTTGCTCCATCCTCTTTGGAACCTCCCTTCAGGAAGTTGAAGGCTGCTATCAAATCACCCCTCTCCCTCACTCTTCGCTTCTGCAGACTAAACAGACCCAACTCCCTCAGCCTTTCCTCATAAGTCATATGCTCCAGCCCCCTAATCATTTTGGTTGCCCTTCGCTGGACCCTCTCCAATGCGTCCACATCCTTTTTGTAGTGGGGGGGGCAGAACTGGAGATGTGGCCTCACCAGAGCCGAATAAAGGGGAATAATGACATCTCTGGATCTGCTGACAGTGCTCCTCTTAATGCAACCTAATATGCCATTAGCCTTCTTGGCTACAAGGGCACACTGTTGACTCATATCCAGCTTCTCATCCACTGTAACCCCCAGGTCCTTTTCTGCAGAGCTACTACTTAACTGGTTGGTCCCCAGCTTGTAACAATGCTTGGGATTCTCCCGTCCCAAGTGCAGGACTCTGCACTTGTCCTTGTTGAACCTCATTTGATTTCTTGTGGCCCAATCCTCCAATTTGTCTAAGTCACTCTGGACCCTATCTCTGCCCTCAAGCATATCTACCTTGCCCCCTAGCTTAGTGTCATCTGTAAACTTGCTAAAAGTGCAATCCATCCCCACATCCAGGTCATTAATAAAGATATTGAACAAAACTGTTCCTAGAACCGAACCTTGGGGCACTCTGCTAGAAACCGACCGCCATCATGACATTGAGCAATTGATCACTACCTGCTGGGCCCAGCCTTCTAGCCATCCTTCTATTCCTCTTACTGTCCATTTATCCAGTCCACATTCCCTTCACTTGCTGGCAAGAATATTGTGGGAGACTGTATCAAAAGGCTTCCTAAAGTCAAGGTATATCACATCCACTGACTTTCCCACGTCCACAGAGCCAGTTACCTCATCATAGAAGCTAATCAGATTGGTCAGGCACGACTTTCCCTTTGTGAATCCATGCTGACTATTCCTAATCACTTTCATCTCTTCCTTAAGGATCCCTTTCATGATTTTTCCAGGAACTGAGGTAAGACTGACTGGCCTATAGTTCCCTGGAAACTAAGCATTGAGTACTTCAGCTTTCCCCACATCCTCTGTCACTAGGTTACCTCCTTCATCCAGTAGGGGCCGCACATCCTCTCTGATCACCTTCTTCTTGTTAACATGCCTGTAGAAACCTTTCTTGTTATCCTTCACATCCTTAGCCAGTTGCAGTTCCATTTGCACTTTCGCCTTCCTTATAACCCCCTGGCATTCTAGAGCTATACATTAAAACCCCTCCTGGGTCATTTGTCCAAGTTTCCACTTTTTTGTAAGCTTTCTTTTTGTGCTTAAGTTATCCAAGGATTTCCTCTGTTAACCAATCCGGTCTCCTACCATGTTTGCCTCTCGCTACGCATTGGGATGGTTTCTTTTTGTGCCTTCAGTAAGGCTTCTTTAAAATACTGCCAGCTGTCCTGAACTCCTTTCCCTTTCATGTTAGCATCCCAGGGGATTCTGCCCATCAGGTCTCTGAGAGAGTCAAAAAACCTGCTTTTTTGAAGTCTGAGGTGTGCATTTTACTACTCTCTTTTTTCCTTTGATCAGGATCCTGAAATCTACCATCTCATGAATACTGTTTCCCAGGTTGTCGCCCACCTCTACTTCCCCTATTAGTTCCTCCCTGTTTGTGAGCAGAAGGTCAAGCTGCGCACGACCCCTGGTCGGCTCCTTCAGCACTTGTCAAGAAGTTCTTCCCAACATTCTCCAAAAACTTCCTGGATTGCCTGTGTACTGCCGTATTGGTTTCCCAACAGATGTCAGGGTGATTAAAGTCGCCCATGAGAACCAGGGCCTTTGATCTGGAAGCTTCTCTCAGTTGTCCGAAGAAAGCCTCATCTACCTCATCGGCCAGATTCGGTGGCCTGTAGCAGACACCAACCACAACATCACTGCTGTTGTTTGCTCCTTTAAACTTAACCCATAGACTCTCAACAGGTTTTTCTCCCTCTTTATACTGGAGTTCAGAGCAATCATAGTGCTCTCTTACATATAGTGCAACTCCTCCTTTTCTCCCCTGCCTGTTCTTCCTGAACAGTCTATACCCTTCCATGACAGCACTTCAGTCATGCGAGTCATCCCACCAAGTCTGTGTTATCCCAATTAAATCATATGTCTTGGACTGGGCCAGGGTCTTCAGTTCTTCCTGTTTGTTGCCCAGGCTTCTCGCATTAGTGTACAAACACTTCAAGTAACCAGTTGATTGCCCTATCTTCTCCATTCGAGACAGGTGTCCTCCTTTCTTGCCCCTTCCTCTCTGCGTTTCTTCCCGGTATCCAACTTTCCCACTCCCCTCAGGGTTTTGGTCACCGTCCCCCGACGAACCTAGTTTAGAGCCCTCCTCACTAGGTTTGCAAGCCTGCCTGCGAAGATGCGCCTTCCTCTCTTCGTTAGGTGGATTCCATCTCTTCCTAACAATCCTTGTGCCTGGAACAGAGTCCCATTGTCGAAGAAACCAAAGCCCTCTCTGTGACACCACCTGCGCAACCAAGCATTTATGTCCTCAATTCGACGATCACTGCCCAGTCCTTTCCCTTCAACAGGGAGGATGGACGAGAACACCACTTGCGCTCCGAATTCTTGGATCCTTCTTCCCAGCGCTACATAATCCGCAGTAACCCGCTCAAGGTCATTCTTGGCCGTATCGTTAGTTCCCACGTGGAGAAGCAGGAAGGGGTAGCCATCCGAAGGTTTGATCAGTTTGGTAAGCCTCTCAGTCACATCCTGAATGCAAGCTCCTGGTAAGCAGCACACCTCTCAAGATTCCAGGTCCGGACGGCAGATGGATGGCTCAATCCCTCTTAGGAGGGAGTCCCCAACAACTACCATCCGTTGTTTTCTTTTGGGGGCGGTGGCCGTGGAACCCCCATCCCCATGGACTACGCATTCCATGCCTTCTAGTAGATGGTGTTCCTTTCCGGTTTCTTCCTTGTGAGGTCCCTTCCAAAGCATTCAGCACTGCAGAGTCTGTGGAGAGAGCCTGAAAGCGATTACTTACCTCTATAACATTGGGGGGTTCCCATGCTGCCTCTTTATACTGGAGTTCAGAGCAATCGTAGTGCTCTCTTACATATAGTGCAACTCCTCCTCCTTTTCTCCCCTGCCTGTTGTTCCTGAACAGTCTATCCCCTTCCATGACAGCACTTCAGTCATGCGAGTCATCCCACCAAGTCTGTGTTATCCCAATTAAATCATATGTCTTGGACTGGGCCAGGGTCTTCAGTTCTTCCTGTTTGTTGCCCAGGCTTCTCGCATTAGTGTACAAACACTTCAAGTAACCAGTTGATTGCCCTATCTTCTCCATTCGAGACAGGTGTCCTCCTTTCTTGCCCCTTCCTCTCTGCGTTTCTTCCCGGTATCCAACTTTCCCACTCCCCTCAGGGTTTTGGTCACCGTCCCCCGACGAACCTAGTTTAGAGCCCTCCTCACTAGGTTTGCAAGCCTGCCTGCGAAGATGCGCCTTCCTCTCTTCGTTAGGTGGATTCCATCTCTTCCTAACAATCCTTGTGCCTGGAACAGAGTCCCATTGTCGAAGAAACCAAAGCCCTCTCTGTGACACCACCTGCGCAACCAAGCATTTATGTCCTCAATTCGACGATCACTGCCCAGTCCTTTCCCTTCAACAGGGAGGATGGATGAGAACACCGCTTGCGTGCCGAATTCTTGGGTCCTTCTTCCCAGCGCTACATAATCCGCAGTAACCCGCTCAAGGTCATTCTTGGCCGTATCGTTAGTTCCCACGTGGAGAAGCAGGAAGGGGTAGCCATCCGAAGGTTTGATCAGTTTGGTAAGCCTCTCAGTCACATCCTGAATGCAAGCTCCTGGTAAGCAGCACACCTCTCAAGATTCCAGGTCCGGACGGCAGATGGATGGCTCAATCCCTCTTAGGAGGGAGTCCCCAACAACTACCATCCGTTGTTTTCTTTTGGGGGCGGTGGCCGTGGAACCCCCATCCCCATGGACTACGCATTCCATGCCTTCTAGTAGATGGTGTTCCTTTCCGGTTTCTTCCTTGTGAGGTCCCTTCCAAAGCATTCAGCACTGCAGAGTCTGTGGAGAGAGCCTGAAAGCGATTACTTACCTCTATAACATTGGGGGGTTCCCATGCTGGCCTTTTTCCCCTTCTACAAGTTACATGCTGCCAGTTCTCTTCCTGGTCCTATACTGCCCTCTCTGGCTCTTCCGCCTTCCATGCTTGAAGGATTAAATGCTACCTACTATCAAGGAAGTCTTCATCCTTTCTGACAGAGCATAGGGTTGACACTTGGGCCTCCAGTCCTCTAATTTTTTCTTCCAAAATGGCGACCAGCTTGCACTTAGTGCAGATGAAATCTGTTCTTTCTTCCGGGAGGAAGACAAACATGGCACACTCCTTGCAGGTAACAACAGCAGACCTATTACCATCCATTGCTGCTGTCCTGGAGAAGGGATTTAAAAAGAAAGGCAAGAGAACTTCGTGCTCTTCCCAACTCCCTCTCTAAACTCCCTGTTAGCACTCACCTGTTTGCAAGCTCCTGCTGTCAATCTTATGGTGGGGGTTGGGGATGTGAAGTTGCAGGAGTTTGGATTGGGATGTATGAGGTTCTAAGGGCACGTGTGTTGGATGTATGATGGGCTCGGCACAGGTTTGGGGTGAGTGGGTGGTGGAGTGTTACGGCAGGGGACAGGATGTGCGGGTGCAGGAGTATAGATATGTGGGGGTAAGGAGCTCAGGCAGGAGGGTTCAGGGTGGGGGGTGCAGGAGTGTTATGATGTGACAGTCAGATGGGGGTTGAGCCCCAAATGGGGGCTTGTTGACCAGGCTTCATTTTTAAATAAAATATTATGTCCAACACAAAAGGTTTCAACATTGTTTTTATTTATGAGAGGGATGGGGAACATTTTTTGGGTTAGGGGCCACTGTCCCACAGAAAAATCACTTGGGGACCACACAAGTGAAAAGCCAAAAAAACAGTCCCTCTAGAAACATCCAACCCTCAGGAAAAAAAGCAGTCTCGAAGGGGTTTTTCGCACAAAAAAACTCATTTTTTGAAATAAACCCTATAAACCTCATTTTTTGAGGAATAAGGGTTCTTCCAGAAAATGGGGAGTTTTGCGTGAAAACCCCTGTCTGTGCTGTATTAACCATTGTCCTGCCTCCTTTCAACTGCTGGCCCAAGAACAGCTGAGTAGAGGCAGGAAATGGGCTGGAGGTGGATGTAGTATCTGAACTTACTTTTAACTCCTTTTGTTTCAAGAAGACACTGTTATTTTGTTGTTTTTAAAAGCATATATATGATTAAAAGCACCCTTCTATACTGCCATAAAGTTTATGCCATAAATTCTCTATTGCTTAAATAAAAAAATGGGGGTGTCTCCTATGTTGCTATCCATTTCAAGGGGAAAAGAATCTAGCCCTTACTGTCTTGTCCAAAAATGATCCTGTTTTTTTTACATAAGAACGGCCGTACTGGGTCAGACCAAAGGTCCATCTAGCCCAGTATCCTGTCTACCAACAGTGGCCAGCACCAGGTGCCCCAGAGGGGGTGGACCGAAGACAATGATCAAGCGATTTGTCTCCTGCCATCCCTCTCCAGCCTCTGACAAACAGAGGCCAAGGACACCATTTTATCCCCTGGCTAATAGCCTTTTATGGACCTAACCTCCATGAATTTATCCAGCTTCTCTTTAAACTCTATTATAGTCCTAGCCTTCGCCGCCTCCTCTGGCAAGGAGTTGCACAGGTTGACAACACGCTGTGTGAAGAAGAACTTCCTTTTATTAGTTTTAAACCTGCTACCCATTAATTTCATTTGGTGTCCTCTAGTTCTTCTATTATGGGAACTAATAAATAACTTTTCTTTATCGGCCCTCTCCACACCACTCATGATTTTATAGACCTCTATCGTATCCCCCCTCAGTTTCCTCTTTTCTAAACTGAAAAGTCCCAGTCTCTTTAGCCTCTCCTCATATGGGACCCGTTCCAAACCCCTAATCATTTTAGTTGCCCTTTTCTGAACCCTTTCCAAGGCCAAAATATCTTTTTTGAGGTGAGGAGACCACATCTGTACACAGTATTCAAGATGTGGGGGTACCATAGTTTTATACAGGGGCAGTAAGATGTTCTGGGTCTTATTTTCTATCCCTTTCCTAATAATGCCTAGCATCCTATTTGCCTTTTTGACCGCCGCTGCACACTGTGTGGAAGTTTTCAGAGAACTGTCCACGATAACTCCAAGATCTCTTTCCTGATTTGTCGTAGCCAAATTAGCCCCCATCATACTGTACGTATGATGAAATCTAATAGATTTCAAAGTGAGAACTTGAATAATTTTTATCTAAGTAGTACTGTCATCTTTAAAGGTAAACAGTTAATTTAGGTTTTCACTTATATGTAAGAGCTTGATCAGACACTAGCTTGTAAATATCACACTCTGCTCTAGTCAGCAGAGTAAGTATTATTTATCAGTTGTTTTAATTAGAAATCTTAGTCATGTCTGGTTTTTAGGCAGTATACAAACAATAAAATTGCTATTTACAAAGCATCTCTACTCCATCTTTGGGGAAAAAATTCAGTACAGTAATAAACAACACACATCATAATGTAATTTTCATTAACACCTGGATTCAAGGATAGTGTCAAGAAATACTTGCACTAATTTTTTTTTGTTGCCTTTGATACATACAATTTCCTGTAACCTTAATAGACTAACATATTGCAGATCAGAATTTGCCAGCAGAGGGAGCATGTTAACTAAAAAGAGCCGTTTCTGGAGTTTTGCTGTTGGTAATGGCTGACTACTGATTTTTGGGGGATGGAGAAACTTTGATCAATATTGCTCACTGAAAATGTTACTGTTTAGAAAATGGAGAGCATTGCTGTGGAAAGAGGGTAGCAATACTCTCCATGTCTTTAGGACTTAAGAGGGCATTGCAAATAATGGAAAAGGGGAAAATGTTGCAGATTTTTTTTTTAATTTGACCTTAACATAAATATTTCTGCGATGCGTTATGTGATTAAAGTGCAGCTGATGTTCTGAGCTTGATGTTATGCTGGTTAGTGTTATGCTGGTTAGTGTATCTGCTGTCCTTTTGGATGGTTTAGCTGTAACTTCACAGTATTTGGGAAGAGCTTATTGAGAGGGTTGATGCAGTGATCGCCAAGTCTCTCTCCTACCTGACCACAAGAATTGATTTCATATGATGATCAGAGTTGCTTTTATTTCTGACTCATCTAGAGAGAACAGCTCCCAGCTCCTGAGGAAGATGATGAGAGTGGCAGTGACAAAGATGATGAACAACCACAAGTAGTAGTACTGAAAAAAGGGGATCTGACTCCGGAAGAAGTGATGAAAATTAAGCAGGAGATCAAAAATGAGTCAAAATCAGGTAAGTACTAAGATGCAGAGTGAATTTTAGAATAGCCCAAAACAGACAGTAAGCAAATAAAAACAGGCTTGAAGTAGGGATGTAATAGTATAGTCGATTAACTGATAAGCAAAAGCTTATACGTTAATGCTATAAACTACACACATTTCCCCCTGCCCTCAACCCTTGCCAGTAAATTTTTTTAGCAGGCTGGCCGGCAGCCCAGCTCAGTCCTGGCTTGTACTGGGTCCTGGACCTACCCCCGCTGCAGCTCTGCATTTAAAGTGTATTAGGAGCCAGGAGGGCAGGTAGCCGGCTCAGTTCTGGCTCGTGTTGGTTCCAGGAGCTCAGACCCCTCCTCCACCAGACAGGAGCTGCCCAAGGACTATAGAATAGTCTACTAACTGATAAGAATTTGAGGTTAATCAACTATTCAGTTAACCGATATTTAACATCCCTAACCTGAAGATGTAAGCTTGATTTTTTTTTTTTCTACAGTTTCCTGTTATCTTTGATTCACAATTCAAATTCCTCATCTAAATAATTTGCCCGTTAGTTCCCAGGCTGAACTCTGTATTTCACATAGCACTTGCCCATGACCTCCAGAGACCTGATTAGTTACACGATGCTGCCTCTGTGTTTCCAGATGTGAAAAGGAAGTAAGCTAAAAATACCATAGTTTTGTGACAATCATATTTAATTCTTTTCTTGGCTTAAAAGCTAGTTCCTCCAGCTCAGGGGCAGGGGCACAGCGGTAGCATTCCACCTTTGAAATATACAAGAGTCCCCACAGGGGCTCTCATACATTTCAAAGTGGAAGTGCTGTATGGAGCCCGGGGTCAGTAGGAGACTCCTGCTGCCCCCAGGCTTCATGCAGTGTTTCGATCTTTGAAATGCACAACACAAGGAGGCACTTCCATCTTTGAAATGTAGCAACTGCCAGGCTGGCTCTTGCTACATTTCAAAGCGGAAGCACCCTTATCTGCTAATCTAATAGTCTATGGAATTTCCATCGACTGTTTGATTAGTTCATTGATCCCTAATATTGGTAATAAATGCATAGTCACTGTCAAATATTTGAAATATCTGTTCAACAGACTTAAAATTGAAGGAAGATGTACCAAACAAGCAATTGAATAGATTGGAAGTAAATAAAACAAATTCTCCTTTAGTAAAATGCAAGATAGGCAAATTATTTATCAAGATAGAAAAGAGTCACTTTCCCCTCAAAGTGCAGGAAATAATTTTCTTCAGATTGCTTAAGATCAGATATTCTATTTAGAACAAACAAAAAGGCAGATTTGAATTTAATAAGAAAATTGTATACAACTTTTTTTTGCATACAACTCAAAGGAGGAATGTAAAAAAATAATTTTACCCTAAATATAATCCTCCAAAGTCCAGACACATCTTAACTCATAGATATACTACAAGATGCTGCAAGTGATGAAATAAGTAAAAACAAAAGTAGGAAGTAAAGGAATCTAGTGACTCAATTGGAAGCAGAGTGGTTGAACATGAGAAATTATTCTGTAATGGCAACAAACATAAGTACAAGACACTGTGTTCTTGCTTAATGCTGCTTTTGATTCTTATCTGTAAAGATGACTAGAAAATTGTATATACCTTTTAAAGAAGCCATTCAGAAACGTAAAGCAAAAAATGACAAGGAGGAGATCTCTCTAATTTATTGAACTTTGTAAAAGTAAAATGAAATTAAGGAATGTAAAGGGTGCAGTTATCTTAGAAGGTTGATTGTATGGGTGTTCAACATAATATTCAAACATAATCAACCCTGAAAACATTTCTAAAACATCATTGTGAAGAAATTTTTGACTGCCCGCAGTATAAGTTGATGATGATGGAACTCTCAAAGGTTGTGGCTCTACTAGTTGAAACTAAAAGATAACATAAAAAGTACTTTGGTCACACACAGCATCCATTTACCCAACAAGGGACTATTTCAGGATTTATTCAGTTTATGAAAGGAGGTGGTTTTGGATGCTTTGACAGATTCAGATTATGATGATGCTGTCTGAGTAGAAACTCTAACTACTACAAACTGAAACTGCATAAGGAAAAAAAATATTCATAGAAACTAGGAATATTTTTTTTCTGATTGACGGTTGTGATTTCTCCTCTGACCCATCCAAATGCAAAAATTAAATATTGAGTCCAAAACAGTAAAACTGAAATGTGACCGCTGGAATAAAAATGTGAGCGGTTCTGCCTAGGGATGTCCACGACTAGTCGAGACACTACTCGACTACTCACAGTTAACTGATTATGTGGGATTTTATATCTTTAATCTGAAGCACTTCACTGTGTCTACTCCTGTTTTCTTGCCAAGAGAATGTGCTTGACTGAAAATGCAGTTACTATCAGTGGGTTCATCGCCTGCCTTTGTCTTGTTGTTTTGTGTTCGAGTGGGAGCAAACACCTTAAGTCTTTACTTCTGTGCTGGGAGATTTCTCCTGTGAAGGGTCACATGAGAGTGTTTCTACTGCTGTATAGATGGCCGTGGTATGATGGTACTGCAGCTCTGTTTGATCCTTTTTTATCTTTATCATGCTAACCTAATGCCCAGTTTCAAGGATTCAAATTTAGGTCTCTTGTTAGCCATTGTCAGGTGCAGCTGGCTAGCTCCAGGCTTTGAGGTGTTTTGAATGTTGTGTTTGCATTTTTTGCCAGTTAATTTCCATTTTTTAAAAAGGCAAAAAAGAATAATGAAAAGCTTGTTATAGGGAATTTCTTATGTCTAACATTTATTTTGAAGTTGTCAACTTCTAAATTGGCAGTAGACTGTTCTATTAACGTGTATTGATATGAACACGCCAGCTGTATCGCCAGCTACGCGGTTCTGCACATGCGCAGGTTCTGTGAATGCACAGATGGCTCTGCGCCAGCTCTTCCAGGGTGTAATCTTCTCGCCACGGGCGAGTAGACTACATTATTTGTCGAGCCCTGGATATGAAGACTGAATGGGGATGGAGGAAGAAAATACCAGAAATAACCATCCATTTTACCATATCAGGATCAGAACAGAGGCAAGCAGATAGGTCCCAAATAACCTGTGCCCAACAACCAGATATGGATGGAGGCTGATTTACACAAGTGTATTATTGAAATTATTCAAAAGTCCTGAAAATATCCACATTTGATGTTCTGCCTTCTCATTTAATATGGCCACAGTGATTCTTCATTCCAAAGGTCTCTACCATGGATATCAGATTGGGATGATATTCTGGGATTTTCTAAACTAATTTACATTCCTCCTTGTACAGATTTGTTCACTAACTGTTTTGACATGACTGTACCTTTTATTTCAAGCCACAGTCCTCCCCGTGATATGCTTTTTCTGAAAGTGATGAACTATACTCTTAAATTAACCAGCTATTTTTTCCAGATTAATGTTGCAGCTTCGCTTAACCTCTTTCTGAGGCAGAGTAAAATTTAGTAATGCTCTTACATTGGGTTTTTGGAAATACAGTCATGGTGAACACTTTAGCTATGATTAACCTTTACATATAATCTTCCATACTGAAATCATTTTATCCATGGAGGACTTGCTAGAGGGTTTTTTTTTAAGTTGCTATTTATTTACCAATAATCCTTTTGCTTAAATTTTCTATCTTGAAGTGTTCTAAAAAACTACTGTAGAATCAAAGATGATAAACATGGTTTCAGGGAAAAAATAAAATTGCAGAAAATCAAAACTGGTAATTGGTACAAGATACTGTGTGTGTCTGCATTCATTATAATCTGTACAATTTTTTTCTGCTGCTTTTCTAGTACTTCTGGTCTCTAGGATATTCTGATATATGCAGCTGACTAAAACTTATAAGCAAGTGTTATTCATTTGAACTCTTTTAATATTATTCTAGGTTTGTTCAAAGTGCTTGGGGTTAAGGAGGAAAATTCTGCCTGATTTTTGCGGATGCCTCCCTACTTATCAGAAGGAGTGTTCAAGCTGCTGTTTAGCTGGTCTATAGCCTTAGTAAGTGACCTTGACTTTAGCCATTTCTAAAATCTTGTATTAGAAATTAATTTTGACTTTCAAAAATACATCAAAAGTTTTCAATAAATTTGTACTTCATTTAGATTGCCTCATTAAATTAATAAGGCTGATTATGTGAGGAACATCAGGCAGGGATGTAGGCAACTAGTTGACTACCCGATAAATGTATGCTTATGGGGTAATCAAGTAGTGACTCGATTTATTGCTTCTCGGACCCCTCACCCACACTGCCTCCATTAGAGAGGCAGCAAGGGAGGGAAGCAGGAGCTGGTGCTAGGGGATCTGGCTTAAAAGTTGTGCCGGTCCCGACTGCTGCACCTCTTCCTTTGAAATGTGCATTTTAAAGGGAGAGGTGCAGCGGTCAGGACCTCACGTGAGCAGGGACTGCTTTGGTCCTGCCTTGCACAGGTTCCCCACTGTACCTCTGCCTTTGAAATGTACAAGAGCCGCCTATGGCTCTTGTACATTTCAAAGGCAGAGGTGCAGCGGGATAGTGAGCACCCCCCTTATCGACTAATTGAGTAGTTGATGGAAATTGATTAATTGAAATTTAACATCCCTAACATCAGATATCCTATCGTTTTAAAAACGGGGGTTTGGTGTATTCCTGTAATAAATGGTTAGTGAGGCAGGTACGGAGAAGGAGGGGGGAAAAAGCTGAAGCATAGCTCTGGACCAAGTGAGAGAGATCTGTGATGAGACTAAATTAATCAATTATAAAACATTTGTATCCAAACCCCTAGTGTCATGCAACCACTGAGAAATTAATCAGGCTGGTACACAACCTCTCTTGCCATTTTTATTAAAGGGACACTTACAGCTTGAAGTCCAGAAGTGTACTAGACAAAAATGCTGCTTTAAGTTGGAATTCTAACTCAGTTTTTGAATGCAGATTTTAGGGATGTAAAATCCCAATTCATCAGTTAACTGGTTAAACATTAGGTTAACCCACTAAGTGGGATCCCAGGAAGCCCCTAGCCTGCAGAGCTCCCAGCCCCAGCCC